TAAAAATACTAAAAATTGTACAAGTTATTTTCCTGTTGTTGAACAAAAGGATGACAAAGAATTTAAAAAAGAATTACCTAATAACAACAAAAATTTATTTAAAAATTCCCCTCCCTCTCCTCATCAATTAGAATCTTCTGCTTCTTCTGTTAAGTCTGTAGCAGCAGCGCTTGTAACAGCAGATTTACGTGCTCGCTTTCGTGAAAGTCAAAATAATTTGAATGATAAAGGGAAAAGAAATTCTTCAAATTGTGTTTTACAACAACAACAACGTCGTCTTTCATTAGTTGGGGCTATATCAGATTCCAATCAGGTGTTGAATTTTGCATTAAAATTCTGAAGGGTTGTATCCGCTTGTTTTTAATTATTTTTTGGTTGATTATAGTTTAAGGATTTTTTAAATTGTTGGAAAATCAATTTAATGTTTTTTTGCTTTAGAAATTCCTTTAAAATTATTAAATTCCTTAAAATAAAAATTATGCAAAAAATGTACTTTAATTTGTTTAATTTATCATTCAAAGAATGTTGCTCTCTCTTTAAATTAGTTTATCAAATTCTTTTTTTTCCAATCTGGTTTCTTAAATAGAAATGTTGTAATAATTTTTTGAATATTTTTTTCTAAAAAATTAGTAATTTTTCCCTTAAATTTTATAAATTAATTGACCGATTTAAGGGCTGTCACTTTTATTTGAATTTTTAAATAACGAATGAATAAATTTTTTGAATATTTTAAAAATTAATTCACACAATTTCTGACAAAGCGGATACAGCTTTTTTTCCTTCCCTCTCTAAATTTCCAAATCCTCCCCCCTAAATAGATGACATTCTCTTCTACCGCAACAATTAGTTCCTATGGTTGTTCTGATGCTGGAAAAACACGTGAAGGCCGTATTTACGCCACCGCAGGTTTTGGGGCAGCTGCAGCTGCTCGAAATAGAAAGAAAAAATTAAAAAATAATAATGGAATAGTAGAAAATAAAAATAATGAAATTTGTGAAGAAGAAACTGTAAAAATGAGGCAAGAAGGCCCTCAAACATGTTTAGTTAATGATAATAATCAAATGAACGTCTTCAACTTGACGAGCAATAAAAATGATCAAAATTCTTTTGGAACTTTAAAAAGCAACAGCGGGGCTTCTATTGGAGCTTTTTCTTTGGGAAATGAATTTATTTATGAAACAACGGGAAAATCTACTCTTGGGAGAAGAGCACAAAAATTGGCACAACGAGCAGCACTTAAACTGAGTAAAAGTGGAGGAACACTTTCAGCAGAATTAAGTAGTTCAGCTTCGGCAATTTATGCACTTTTTAGTGGAAATAATTCTAATAATAATGGATTTGTTAATGAAAAATGTTTAAATGGAGAGAATATTAGACCTGGAAGTGATGATTTTTTATTATTAGGGAAAAAGAAAGGAAGTAAGAGAAAAGGAAGGAAGAAGTTGGAGGTGATATCTTCTACAGGCTGTTATTGGATGGTTATTGAAAAAATTTTATTAAAATTTTTTATAAAAAATTTTAGGAAAGCTTCAATATATTTTTTTAATTCAAAGTTTTTTGGTGATACATAGTATATTTATAGACATCCACATTACCATTATTTTTAATTTACAAATCAAAGAATTTTTTTATTAAAATATTAATTTGGGGGCAGGGTTCTCTGCTTTTTTTAAATCCACGGATATCCTCCGGAACTGTAGAACCGAATCGACAACCTGTTTGTGAGGAAATATTTTTTCTAACACCTTTTAAATAATTTAAAATATTTTTGAAAAAATGTAACCTTAAATTAATGTCTAAATATTTAAAGGACAAAACAACCCTCGTTTCAAAGCACACAGCAAAGGGAATTGACTTTCTCGATAGTTTCGGCTTGTTCATTAAAGAACGAGCTCAAATTGAAGAGGAATATGCTAATAAATTGAAGTTTGTTTTTGTTTTGAAATTTTTAATTTTTGAAAATTTAATTTTTATCTTCACTATAAGATCATTGAAAAGATAATAAATTAATGTAATATGTAGATACAAATACCAGTTACCTTTATTTAAATTATCCGAATATTTTAATTTAAAAATTATTTTTTTAGAAATTTATCAAAAAAATCACGAGGTAAAAAGGCTTCTGATGACGAATTTACTTCGTCTAGTGCATTCCATGCTGTTTTGGGTGAATTAGAATCTCTTGCCTCCCAACACGAAGTAAAGAATTTTTTATAATTATAATTAAAAAAATTATTTTTAAGCTTGTTGTTGAGTGTTTACGGGATGTTCTTCTTCCAAAAATTAACGATAAATGTCGTCAATTCCGAACAGTTCGTAAAAAGCATTCACAAAATTTTGAATTAATGGAAAAGGATTATAATGCTAAAGTTGATGAATTGCAAAAACAGAAGAAAAATTACGAGTAAATTTTGAATAAATATAGGGGATTAATTGAAAGAGTTTGTTAAGATTAGTTTGGTTAAGTTGGGTGTTTTTGGGGTGTTGAAGGAGTTAGAGGGAAGGTCGATTCTTGTCGGGAGTTTTATTGTTAATTATGAGTAGACAATGATGAACATATGCTCTAAGCGTTTAAAGTAAATATTTCCGTGCTAAGTAGTAACAATCCAACTCTGAGTCTACATTTTTTTTATCTTTTTTTAAAAAAAAAGGTTAACAAATTTAATAATGGAAAATTAAAGAAATTAGTTTGAAAATTTTTCTTTTTATTTTTTGATTTATTTTTAATATTTTTTAATATTTTTAATTTTCCATTTAAAGGAAAGCACATGTAGAAGCCCAAAATGCCCATATTAAGCACAAAAGAGCGTTTGAAAATCGTTATTTATCTCGCCATGAAGTAGACAAAGCTCAGTTGGCAGCAAACAATAAAAGTACAATTTGTGAACAAGGAAAACAGGTTTTTTTAAAGCTATAAAATTCAAAAGTTTATTGTTAAATTTGTCCCAAAAATACTCAGAAGCCAATTGTAGAATATTAATTTTACTTTATCACAAAAAATCATTTTAAAAATTGATTTTTTTTTTAATTTTTTTTATTTGAAATAATTTTTTATTTTTTTTCAGAATTACGCATCTCAATTAGCTGCCACAAATCAAGCAAAGAGTGATTTTTACAATATTTTGTTGCCTCGATTATTAGAAGAAATGAGACAACTCGAAATTGAACGAATTAATTTTACTAGAGAAATTATGTTGGAAAGTGTTAAGGCTGAAACTGATGTTTTGCATATTAAACAAAGGTTTTTTTAAAAATAATTAAAAAGTTAATAAAAATATTTTAAAAATTAATCAAAAAAGATTGTAATTAAGTAATTTAATTTTTAATTTAATTTTCATTTAAATTCTTAACAATTTTTCGATTTGTTTTTTAAAAAATACCCTCTCTATTATGTATTTATCCCTTGAACTGAATTGAGTTGACAAAATTCATAGGAGTGGTTTGACTTGAATAATATATTTGAGATAACACAAAAATTATTATTTTTATTTAGTCAATACAATCTTTAAATTAATTTAAATATTTTCAGGTGTTATGAAGATATGAATAATGCAATTAAAACAGTCAATCCAGAACACGATACTTTATTGGTTGTTGAACAAACAAAGACTGGTTATACACATCCTGCTGACTTTGAATTTGAAGATTTTGGTAATTAATTAATTTTGTTATGAGAAATTTATCCAAATAAAATTTAAAATATTTTCGATTGGGTTCTACTTGACTTTATGAGTCCAATCGAACTTTATGAGTCCAATCGATGTTTATGAGTCCAATCGAACTTTCTGAGTCCAATCAAAATTTATGAGTCCAAATAAAACTTTATGAGTCCAATCAAAATTTATGAGTCCAATCAAAACTTTAAGAGTCCATAGGAATTTTATGAGTCTAATCACATTTTATTAGATTTTATTAAATAATACATACATTTATTAAATAATACATTAAAAATGAATAGGATTATGTTGTTAGACCTATGGAACATAGGCGAGGCGCGTTTGGACTCATAAATTTTGATTGGACTCATAAAGTTTTATTTGGACTCATAAAGTTCGATTGGACTCATAAAGTTTTATTTGGACTCATAAAGTTCGATTGGACTCATAAACTTCGATTGGACTCATAAAGTTCGATTGGACTCATAAAGTCAAGTAGAACCTTCGATTGTTTAAAAAAATATTTGAAACAAAAAGAGAAGTGTCCAATATATTTTTTATTATTCAAAAATAATTTAAAAATTATAAAAATAAAGCTAGCCCCGTACGGGTCTCGATCCCGTAACCTTCAGATTAAAAGTCTGACGCTCTACCAATTGAGCTAACGAGGCTTATGGATAACTTTCCCTTATTTAACGTCAAATAAACTCAAATTAAATTTCTAAAAATATATTTTTAAAGTTTTAATAAATTAATTTTGTTCAAAAAAAAAATTTTAAAAATTACTTCAAAAAAGAATTTTTTTTTATTTTTTAAGGAGATCCAGCTAAATTAATTGAAGATGATACAACATCTTTTGATAGTTCTACAATAAGACGAATTGGAGGGAAAAATGTTAACGGAAAGGGAATTCCTCGAAAACATTCTCTGAAACTTTTTAACAATTCTATTGGAAATAAGGTAATTTAAATTTTTAAAAATTATTTTTGTTAAAATTTTTTTTTAATTTTTTATATTTTTATTTTAAATAAGTATTTTTATTTTTTTTTAAACTTTATTTAATCAAATTTTCTAACTTTACGTATTTTTGAATTATTTGTTTTCCTTCCCTTCTCTTAACCAGTCAAATTAAATAAAAATTTATTTTCTCTCGTGGCCTCGTTAGCTCAATTGGTAGAGCGTCAGACTTTTAATCTGAAGGTTACGGGATCGAGACCCGTACGGGGCTAGCTTTATTTTTATAATTTTTAAATTATTTTTTAATAATAAAAAATATATTTAAATATTTATTTTTTGTTTAAATATTTTTTAAATTAAATTTCTTAATTAAATTTATTTTTTAAGAGTAACGGCAATAGCAGCACCGGCAGTTCTCACACTTCTTCTGGCTCTAACATTGGAGAATATGGCAGTTTACCTCCTCAGCAACGCTGCCGTCGCATTCAAAAGAAACTTGAAGAATTAACTAATGAATTGAGTATTAAAGAAAATTCTAAGGTTTTTACTTTATTTTTACATAATGGGGCTTGTCCAGTTTAAGTGCCCATACAACCTTTATACGTCCAAACAAATTTCTGTGCGTCCAATCTATGGCTTTGTTTGGGCGCATAAAAATTCCCGTCTACGTATAAACTTTTCATTGGACGTATATAAAGTTTGTTAGGACATTTAAAAGTCATTTGGATTTAATTTATGTAAAAATATAAAATCTTTTATTTCATTAAAGGAAGGATTAGAACGTCTATTATCTGTCTACAGCAATGGAGGATCCTCAAACAATGGAGGATCTTGGGGTGATCCTCAAATTGTTGAAAAACAAATTGAACATAATAAATGTGAAATTGATGCATTAAGTGAACAAATTAGAAGATTTAAGGTAAATTTAGATTAATTAAAATATTAAAATCTCCGGGATTTGAATATTTTTTGTATTTAAAACTAATTGAGAATCAAAAAATAAATATTTAAATATATTTTTTATTATTCAAAAATAATTTAAAAATTATAAAAATAAAGCTAGCCCCGTACGGGTCTCGATCCCGTAACCTTCAGATTAAAAGTCTGACGCTCTACCAATTGAGCTAACGAGGCCACGAAAGAAAATAAATTTTTATTTAATTTGACTGGTTAAGAGAAGGAAAGGAAAATATAAACTTAAAAAAATGATATTATTTAAATTTTAAAAAAATATTTTAATTAATTTCTCAGAATCTTCTTTCGGATGCACAAAGTGAATTAAATCAACCATTAGGCGGTGGTGGAGGTGGTGCTCATCTTAATACAACAACAAATTCAACTATTAGCTCCTCTCCAAATTCATCTCCTCGTGGAAGTGCATGTAGTGGTGGAGGAGGAGGGGGAATTGGAAATAATAATAGTGAATAATTTTAAAGATTTTTTGAAAACAAGCTTTTTTAATCCTTTATTATTTTCCAAAATTTATTTTCTTTTCAGTTTCTCGTTTGAACGGTCTAAACGGAAATAATCATCATAATGTCGGGGAACGTGGTTCTTATTCTGAGGCTTCCTCTATCTCTTCAGCAGATGGAGCTGGTTCCTCTCTTCATGGTACAGAAATATAATTTTTTTCACATTTACATTTTCCTCACATTAAGGAGGAGTAACTACTTCTATTGTTGGACATTCAGCAACTAACGGCGGCGGCACTCGTCTTTTGCCGCCCCCACAACCATCTCCAGTACAAATTGTTCCTTCAGTTTCTCAACAAAATACAATTCAACAAACTAGTAGCACTATAAGCACTAGTGGCTTTTGTAAAAAATTTTTTTTATATTAAATTTATTCCCCCCTCACTTTCTTTTTAGCCTCAAGCTCTGCTGCTTTAACTCCCGTAACTTCTTCCACAAATATCAAAAACAATATAACTGATGCTAGCGGTGGTGATTTTTACGAGGAATGTGATGGGCCTGTAGGAGGGATTGATGGAACAGATGGAGGAATACAACATTCTGATATGGTTTTGGGAACTGCTTTAGCTCGGTGATTTTTTAAATTAAAATATAAATATCAACCATCCATTAAAGTTATCACTACGATGCAACACCAGATGAAGCAGGCGGCACAATCATAACAATGAATGAAGGAGATGAATTATTATTGCTTGAGAGGGATATGGGCGATGGATGGACTAGAGTTCGACATAGAATTTCTAATGCGGAGGGTTTTGTTCCTACTAGTTATTTGGTAAATTTTAGACAAAAATATAAAAAATGTTATAGAAATTGGGTTGGTGCTTTCCAGTTGAGTTAACATTCGAGGCATTTTCTCGAGTTTTTTTTTAATCTTACTGATATGAAGTCTAAAAATATAAATATCCCCTTGTCCCATCTAAAAGGGGATAACTTGGATAGAAATCCCCGGCAGAAACCTCTCAGTCTTCTAGGGGGGGGGGGGGATTTTTTGATGAATAAAATGTACATAAATATATTTTTAGGACTGCAAATGGTATGGAGCTTCGACATCACGTTAAATGATGCAATATTTATATATATAAAACGACTTACATTTAAATAAATACAAATTTTCTTTCTTTTTTTTACCCCTTAAAATTCATTAAATTTTAATGTTTTTTTGTGGGAATCTGTTTTAGTTTTTTTGCTCAATATTTAAATATATTATTTTCATAAAAATGGAGAAATATTTTTTTCTCAAAAAATATAAATACAGAAATTTTTTGTGGAATATTTTAAAAATTAATTTTAATCCAAAAATTAAAATTTTTATTAATTAACCAAAAAAATCCAATTTAATTTTCAATTATTTTCGCTTAATTTTTTCTCTGCGCAATTTTCTGTTTATTTGTCATTTTATGTTTTTTAATTTACTACATAAATATAAAAATTATTTTTAATTTCTAAGCTCATTTCTTTATTTTAAAAAATATTTTTAGAAAAAGTTTAATTTTGAATTTTTTAGTGACAGTTATCTGTAAAATTATTATTATATTTTAGCTTTTTTTGTCTTGATTTTCTGCTTAATTTTGACTTAATTTTAAATAAAATAAATTAATTATTTATTGAGAAAAATTGATTTAAATAATTCGAAATTGTAAAGAAAATTTTTTTGTTTTTTCCTCGGATAGAATTATTTTTTTAGAAATATGTATGTACATAACAGATAGACGACGAGAATTTAAAAAAGAATAGAGTAAAAGAAAGAATTATTTGTTTAATGTTTGTAACGTATAAAATAAATGGAAGTTGGATAATGGAAGTTTTATAGATAACAACCCCTTCTACCGGGGTTATAGTTTTCCTGAATGCGCTTAAAATTAATTTTTGGGAAGCGTGTCTTTTGATGCGCGCATTAGAGGATTTTGATATCCGTAACCGGTACGGCGGATATCCGCAGGTATTTTGAAATTATGTGTCCGTATCCATTACCAAGCCTGTTTTCGATTGTTTAAAAAAATATTTGAAACGAAAAAGATATTTTTTATTTTTTCATTATTCGAAAATAATTAGGGTTTCGAACCGTTATTTTTTCGGGCCGGACCGGTCGAGTCTTTTTCGGGCCAAAATTCGATGCCCAGTTCGATCTATCACCTAAACCTGGGCTCCCAAGTCTAAAAATAATTTAAAAACTATAAAAATAAAGCTAGCCCCGTACGGGTCTCGATCCCGTAACCTTCAGATTAAAAGTCTGACGCTCTACCAATTGAGCTAACGAGGACACGAATGAAAATAAATTTTTATTTAATTTGACTGGTTAAGAGAAGGAAAGAAAACAGTAAAATTAAAAACTGTTTACTAAATAAAATTATTTTAAAAATTAAGAAATTCAAAATATTTTTAATAACATCTGAAAAATTTCCAAACAAATAAAAATAATTTTTTAAATTTAAATTACCTTATTTCTAATAGAATTGTTGGATATAGTTTAGTATACCGTAGCCTTAGTTTCGACATCAAACCTTACCATTCGATTCGTCTCGACGAGCTGAGTCTAACTTTTTTTCCGGAGATGCCTGTGACCGAGATATCCCTGAAAATCGAAAACCCATAGCTGATCTCCCTAAAAATAAAAAAATATTTTGAAGCAATTTTTTAAAATTTATTTTTTAAACAAAATTAAATTAATTTAAGAAATTAAAAATATAATTTAAAAAATTTAATTTGAGTCTATTTCACGTAAAATAAGAGCAAGTTATCCATGAGCCTCGTTAGCTCAATTGGTAGAGCGTCAGACTTTTAATCTGAAGGTTACGGGATCGAGACCCGTACGGGGCTAGCTTTATTTTTATAATTTTTAAATTATTTTTGAATTATAAAAAATATATTTGACATGCTCTTTTTTGTTTCAAATATTTTTTTAAATTAAGTTTTAATTTAATTTTTTAAGAGTAATGGCAATAGCAGCACCGGCAGTTCTCACAATTCTTCAGGCTCTAACATTGGAGAATATGTCAATAACAGAACAAAATTAAGAGGAAATGTACGAATTAATAATTAAATCTAATTTAACAGCATACTACTCAAAAAAAAATAAATTTTAATTTTTGTAAAACAAAAAAATGAACTTTTAACGAAAACAATTAACTTTTTTCCGATGGTAAAAAATATTGAATTCGTGGTATCTTGTAGCGTACTTAATTCACTATCCACTGATGCCAAGAAAATTAAGAATTGACTATCCATCCATAACTTATAGGGGCTGGGACACAACTGAGGCTGGAACTCAGTTGTGTCTGGACTGAGTTGATGTCTGCCCATTTTAACTTTTCATATAGCCATTAAAAAAGAGAAAGTTAACTTGTTAGAGAAAAATAGAAAAAGAAATTGCTTTTATAGTGAAAGAAGAGAAAGAAAATATATTTGTTTATATCTACAACATATCGAATATTTTCTTTTAAAGAATTTAATATTTAATGGTAGTCCTTTGTTAAACTGTCCGATGTCCGCAAAGTGTCCGTATTGCGTCGTTCCGCAGACGCTAATTTTTGGGTAGTGCACCTTCGGGTACACGTAGAAGTTTTTCTTTTTAGCGTATGTATTTGGGTATATAGTACTTCAATTTTAACTTATTTTTTATCTTGTTTTTGTTTAAATTTAACAAAAAATATTTTGATAAAATCTGATACTTGTAAATGAAAATTAATTTTTTTTTAATTTCTAAAATCATTTTTATTCATTCCTTGTGTAATCCACTTACATACAAACAGACTGCGAGAGAATACTTAGAGAGACACAATAAGCACATAAAAATGAGAGAGACTGAGAAAAGATTTATCTAGTAAATGTAACTCGTAAAATAATTTCTTTTAAAGAAAAGGAAAATTTTGTTATTAAGCGAGAGATTTTGTTTCCGTGTTCCGGCCGTCTTCCGACGTGTCCGCTTTCCGTTTTCCGAGTGCGTCTTTTCCGCAGACGCTAATTTTTGGAAAGCGTACTTTTTGGTACGCATAAATTTGTTTGATAATTTTAAATGCTAGGCCTATTTGTTCTGCTAGTTCGAAATAAAAAAAGGAAGATTTTGTTACTAAACAGTAGATTTTGCTTCCGAAGATGATAGATTTAGAATTTAATTAGAATTGTAAAGCATATAGGCGGGGTGATGTAATGAATAACATATCAGCTGGTCTACTGAAGATGCTGGTCGAATAAAACCGTCGAATAACTTTTTTTGCTGAGGGAGACAAATAGTTTGATCGACTGAAGCTGCTTCTCTCTCTTAACATCATTAAGCAGTAGATTTTTTAAAAAAAATCGACAAAAAATGGCAAAAACGGGTGTTTTTTCAATTTTCAAAAATTCATAACGCGGTAGAATACCGTCAGTTTGGATGCGGTCTCTTGCATTGTATTCAGAAGCTGAGGGTAGTTTGGAAGTGTGTTTTAATCTTTACAGAATTTGTCTCGAGTGTATTAACCGGTACTCCCCGGTTTTTGGTTAAGACCAATTTTCAACCTCCAGTTAAAAATTCCATACTTAGGGGTATATTTCTAGATCGAAACCCGGCGTCCCGATTTCGGTTATCTTCGGGTTTGACCCCCGGGTTCGGTTAGATTAACTACCCCCAAAAACCCTAGTTTTTAATATAATTTCAATTTTTATTTGTTTAGGACAAAATAAAGGTGAAAAAAGGAGATGAAATACATATAAAAGAAAAGAAAAAAAGAGAGAGAAAAAGAGAAATAGTATGTGTAGAAAAGAAATAAATAGAAAGAAAGAGAACAGTTAATATATAAACAATTTAAGCAGAGGAACAACTCGTCAAATAAAATAACAAAATTAACAACAAATAATTAACAATTAATTCTTTAAATATCCCTGGTCCCTTTGTATTCGGACGAAGAAATCTTTCGCCTTTTACTAAAGATTTCCGTGCAGGGGGACGCTTATGGGTTTACCCTAATTTTTGGAAGCATTTCCTTTTGGAAATGCGTAAATTCTTTTTTTTTGTGGTCAAAGTTAATTTTATTTAAATTTTTATTCGGACGAAGAAATTTAAATAAATATGTCTATAAAAACGACTTAACAACCGTGAAAATGTACAATCGTTTTTGCAAGACGATTAAATGAAAATACGTGATTTCGACTTATAAATCGGTGACCTTCACTCAGAATTTAGAAATGGTTGAATTAAAATTATTAAATAAAGGACAAATTAAAGGAATGTCTATCATTTTGTTAGAGAAAAATAGAAAAAGAAATTCTCTTTAGAAAAGAGAAAAAGAATATTTATTTACAACATATCGAATATTTTCTTTTTGAAAATAAAATGAATTTTAAATGCTCGTCCATTCTGTTGTGTATGGGTGTTTAGTATAAAAGCCAGCACGTCGACAAGTCTCGGACACACCGCGTCGATGTGACGCTAATTTTTGGATAGCGATTCGACGGGATCGCGTAAATTTGGTTGGATATTTTGTCTAAAAATTTACTATTTCTCTATAAATATGTATGTATTTTATTTGACAATTTCGATTTTATTAATAATGCGACTTAAAAAGCAATTAAATATCAGGTTTGACAAGATTATTAAAATTGATATTAAAAGATAAAGTACTAGCGGAGTAGGTCGGCCTTCGGCCGCCCCACCCCCTTCATCCCATTAAAGGCTGTTATCCCCCTGATCTTATAGAGATATATTTGAGAATTATCCCAAATTTATGTTGTAATATGAAGATATTTGTTTAACCGTTGAAATAATTTTAAATTATTTACATATTAAAGATTCTTTCTAAATTAATTATTTAATTCTTTTAATTTTATTTTGTAAATTCCAAATTTATTTCTAAACGTTCCACTTAGAGAACCTCACCAAAATCTGGCGAAAAACAAGAAAGGGAATATTAATTAAATTAATTAATTAAACAATTTTTTATTTAAATATAACAGTATATTTTTAATTAATTTTTCTTTTTAAGCAATTTTAGAGGTCGTTAATAAATTAATTTTTGATTATTTAAGATTATTATTTTTAAATAATATTTTTATTTGTTTAAAATTTAAAAAAAAATAAAATTTAAAAATCAAAATTCTGATTATTATTTAATTAAATTCATTAAAATCAGAATTATTCAAATCTTCAATTTTTAATTGAAAATAAAAAATATTTTTTAAATATTAATTATGTAAATATAATTACCAAATAAACAAAATCTCGGGATTTCTAAAAATATTTTAGTTAATTTAAATGTTGATTACATATTATAGTTTACTTTTCCCTATTTTATTTCCAACAAATATAAATGCTGGATATGGACATGGTATTTAATTGTTAATTAATTGATTAAAAACTCTCGAATATTCTTCCCTTCTTTCTGAAATTTTTATTTAAATTTTTCAAGCTCCAATGCGCTACTATCATCAAAAGACCCAACAGCAACCTACTGTGCCTCAACTTTATGTAATTAATTAAGAAATATTGATGTTGCTCCCTAATTCCTATTTTTGTTTTTCAATTTTTAAATTAAATTTTCAACATCCTTAATACAAAATTCTCCTCCCTTTTATTCAGTTTTAGTTCTCATCTGTTTGCCAAAATTTTTTTTTATTTAATTATTAAAAAAATTTTTTAATCAAAAAAATATATTAAATTAATTAATATTTAATAGTATGCACCAAATATAAATTCACCAATTCCTTTACATGTTCAAAGAAGAATTATGCGTTTTTGTACAAATAAACATCCAGAACATCCAAAATGCAGGTATTAACCAGGCATGTTCATACGGATAGAAAAATCCGACTCCAGGTCCTGGCCTGGTATAAACTTCTATTTAAATTAAGATTAATTTAATAAGTGCACATATTAATTAGAGATTTAATGATTGGTTGATAATCGAGATTGATGTAAAATAAATTTTGGTTTTAGATTTTTAAACGAGAGATTTTGTCTCAGATCATTCCAATTCCAATAAACCTTTAAAAAATATTTTTTTCTTTTAATTTTTATTTAGAGCCCACCCAGAATGGATATTCCCCAAAGGTTCATTACCCTCAAATCCCTTCACAGACGATGATGATAGTGACGAATTTCCCCAAATTGTAAATTTTAAATTGCCTCCAGTTCCTCATCCTTACAAAATTGAGAAAAATCCTTTAATTGGAGGTTTGTTCTTTTAAAAAAACAAAAAAATATTTAAAAATTCTTTATTTTAGTCCCCGAAGAATTAAAAAAAGTAATTAAAGTCACAGAAAATATTCAAAACCCAAATAGTATTCAACAAACAATAATGGTTTTTGAAATTAATATTTAAATTAATTAAAAAATAAAAATTAGGGAATCTGTGCACAGACTGGGGATTGTATGTCACAAAAACCGGAAGCAATTAATCAAAGAGCTAATATTGCAGAACAAGAAGTTTCTATTGCAAGAGGATTAGAGTTAGGAAAAAAATTAATTTTTAAAAGTCTTCTAAAAATTATTAATTTTTAAGTCCTCATAAACCTTTGGGAGAAATTGATTTTGAAGTAGAATTGCGGTTATCTCGTTCATTTCAAGTAAAAGAAGGATTGGTAAAGCTTGGTGGACTTGATAAATTTGTAAAAATTAAAATAAAAAAATAAAATTATTTTAATAAATATTTAGTTGGTATCTTCAAATAATGGAGTATATCAAGAGGATATTTTACTTTCCGAACATCAATCGAATGCTATGATATTTCAAATAGAAAATCAAATAAAGGTAGTTAGGTGGGAGAAGGAATTCGAGAATTTATCCATTATATCCTCTTAAACACTTAAATCTCGTTACTGACCAGACTAATATAATAATAAAAGGTCATTTGCTCTATTCTGCAGTTACAACTAAATGTTAAACAAAAATTCGTCGAAGAGCTTAAGTCTCCGAACTCAAGGTTGGGCTTAAGCTCTCAAATTCGGAGATCCCACCCAATTTTTTGTGAGGATTAATCAATTTAACATTTAAAATATCAGGAGGCAGCATCACATCGTCACAAAAGAGCTGGAAATTCTGTATTTTTCGAAGGTGTGCCAGCATTACGTTGGCCTAGAGATACTTTCCACCCAACAATTACTTGTATTTTTAAATAAATAAATTTTTAAAAAATATTTTCTCTCTCAGTGGAAGGTGATAAAGAAACAATTCGTTCAGCAATAAATGAAATTCAATCAAAAGTTCCCTGTTTGAGTTTTGAAGAGATTGAATATACACAAGCATTGGATTCGAGAATTATTTATATTAAAGCAGGAGTTGCTGGAACGTAATTAATTTTTAAAAAGATTTTTTAATCGGGGCTCGTGTGAGGATTTTTGATAAAAAATTGCGGATTCTTAATAACTTGAGATACGAGTCTTGTTTTTAACTCACTAACGTGACTTGATTTTCAATCATAATAAAGACGAGGATTTGAGTTTGATATCTCAAAAATGGAAATCTTTAAATAGAATCTTGTCTAGATCCAATTTCTACTTAAAAATAATTATTTATTATTTAAAAATTAAAAAAATTTTTTAAAATTTCCAAGTTGTGGCCAAGGATCTGTTGGCCGTCAAGATCCTGTCAATGCAGTCTACCTAACTTTTTCCTGTCCAAATTCAATAGGAGTTGCTATACACGAAACACTTCATGCTCTTGGACTACAACACGAACAAATGAGGATTGGTAATTGAAATATAAATAAATAAATTTAATTATTTAAAAGATCGTGATCGTTATATTAATATAGACTATAATAATTTGGATCCAAAAAATTATGCAGAATTTGCTATTGTTGACAAAACTAAATATACGAGTTATGGTAATATATGCGAGTTATGGTATTATTTAAAAAAATATTTTCTTTATGAATTAAATACGACTATGCCTCAATTATGCATTATTCAAGTACTTCTGGAACACGGAATTTTCAGAGGAAAACAATGACTGCTAAAGTGCATTTTTCAATTATTTTTAAAATTTAATTTAAATAAAAACAGATAAATCCAGCAAGAAATGATCCTTTAATGGGACAGAGAAATGGACTGACTGCTTCGGATATTGCTGAACTACACAGAATGTATTGTGCTCCTGGTGAGAATTTATATAAAAATATTTTTAAAAATATTAATTAATTATTCCTCCTACTATTCTCTATTATTTTCCAGACTAGGGTTGGTAGATCCTGGGAAATATTCGCGCCTTTTTAGTATCTGAATATCCAAAACCGCCGACACTATTTCAGATTATTTATTTAATATTCCAAAAATGGCAAAAAGAATACAAACATTTTGCTAGTAATTTTTAGAAAGGGTGGATTTGGATACATATTTTTGAATATAAAAAAAATAATTGCAACAAAAAGAATACATATAAGAAGTAACCGAATAAATTATTCTCCAAAATTTAAATTAATTTTTATTGAAAGAATATTAAATTATTAATTTTATTTTATTAATTATTATTAATTTTATGAAAAAATATATTTTTATATTAAAAGAATCCTGTGCTGACTCGAATGTTTATTGTGGTGCCTGGGCTGTCCAGAATTTATGTACAGGTTGGAATCAAGGAGCTCGAAATTGGATGACAGAGAATTGTCCAAAATCGTGTGGATTATGTACAGAATAATTTTTAAAATATTTTTTTTAATTTTATAAAAATTATTTATTTATGTAGAAAATAAATGAGAAAATACAAAATTAAATAATTATCTCAATTAAATTTTAGATAAATTTAAACAAATTTATTTTTATTTTATATAAATTTCTATTAAAGTAGGGCCTTCAAAATTTCAAAATTTTTTTTAAATTTATTTTGTTTATGTTTTTCCTTTTACCGACAACATTTCCGGGCCTCTTAAACATTAAAAATCTTTAAACAAGATAGACATTCACGTGTTAACTATCACGCTATAATTTCTTTAAAGTAAATCTTCAATTGATTATTTTTGATTGACTAATTTTTAGCATGTAGAGATTTTTATTTAAATTTATTTAAGAGAGAATATTAGAGATAGAAAGAAAAAAAAATAGAAAATTAAAAACTTGTTTGAATATGTCTACAGTGGCAGAAATTTAAATAGGGAAAGGGTAAACTCTATGTAATTCCGTTCATTTTTATCCGATCTGGCAGATCTAAATCTTAAAAAATAGCTTAATTCCTATCTCACTTGACATGTTTCAGCGTTTTTCAAAATTCTGATACAACTTCAAATTCAAATTTTGTTTTAGAGGATCTTTCTTCGTCTTTACCGAAAATAAAACCATTTTCTAACGAAAAAAATTTCTATATTAAAAATAAATTTTTTTTATTTGTTCATTAAAAGTTTATTTTCCCTCAAATATCAACAACAACCTCTCCAAACTTTATAAACAAAAACGAACATTTATGTATAGTCAATGCCAAATTTTGAAATTTTCAGCGGCGCATTGCAGGGGAGGGAGGGAGGGAAGGAAGGAAGGGAGGGAGGGAGGGAGGGGAGGGATGGAGGGAAGGGGAGGGAGGGGAGGGATGGATGGATGAAGCAGTTGCTTAATTATTAATTCTTTTCATTTAGTAAAAAAATCTATCAACAATATAACTAACCCTCCTCCCAATAAAATGAATTTTTATTTTTAATTGAAGCGAAATAAAATAAAATATCAGAGCTAAAACTTAAAATTTAAATATATTATAACGAAATTGTTTAATTAACTCAATTAAAAAGGAGGAAATAAATATAGCTAAGAAAATCCCTTTTCTCTAAATTGAGAGAAAAATACTCAAATTTAATTTACTTAAAAATCAGAAATTTTATTTATTAAGAGCTTTAAAATAAATATATTGCTTGACTTCTTTCATCCCCAAATTTTGGAGCTGTCCTGTTTTTAGTGGTGTCGCGATAGGTAAAATCCCGTGAAAGCGTCAATCTAGAAGGGCTAGTCACTGATTCCCGTTGTTTTACATGGGATAAACTGTTATTTTTGTGCACGTCAACAACGGACAACCCTCGGACATAACATGCCCAAAGATGTCAAAACCCAGGCAATTTATCCAATCTGTGGGTGACAACAGATTGGAAATCTCTATCACTTAATATATAAATTTATTTAATTTTGTAAAAGAATATTTAAATATTCTACATAAATTAAACTATTTAATCATGGAATTTTCGGAAAAAATTTTTGAATGAAAGGAAAAAACTTTTTTTCAAAAAATGGGAAATTCTTTAAAATATTTAATAATTTTTAAAATAATTATTTAATAATTTTTAAAAAGAAACATTTAATTTTTCAAAATGAAACAAAATTATTATTTTATTTTCTTTTGTTTTCTTCAACATTTTATTTTAAATGTTAATTGTTTGGAAAACCATTTTTTTGTGAAAGTTTTACCAATTGGATTTAAGTGGAAGATTGATGTTGAATGTCCCAAATGTGCTGAAATTGAACAAGAAGTAATTAATTAATTAATTTTATAAAAATTATTTAAAAGGGGATTTAATACAAAAAAATAATTAAAATTTAATTTATAAAGGAAAAAAATTTAATTTTTAGAAATTACCAGAAAATATTACAATGTTTACATTATCTCATAATGGAAACAACATAAAAAAATTAAAAATAAAAATAACTTCGGTAGAAGACGACGAGGTTAAAAATAATTTTTTTTGATAATTTTTGTTATTTAGTAAATTTTTAATTAAAAAAATAATATTTTTTAATTAAAAAAATTTAAACATTTTTAAAGGATAAGGAATGGAATATTAAAAATATTAATTTTGATAAATTATATGAATTCGATTTTTTTGGCGGTAAATTTAATAATGAACAAGATATACCCCAACATTTTGATATTAACCGGTAATTTATTCTCGAATTAATTTTTTTCTTTCAAAATTTAAAATATTCAAAATAAATTTATTTTTAAAGTTCTTCATTTGGTTATTCCGAAAATGATCCATTCATTAAAGAGTTGATGGGAAAACTTAAGGAAGAAAATAAAAGATTAAAAGAAATTGCTGCTAATAGAGGAAGTTCAAGTTCTTCCTATGGAAATAATTCTGACGATAACGATAATACTTTAAAATTTGAAAATCTTTCGATAACACCAAATAAAGTCCCAAAACCCAAAAGAAAAGGAAATAAAAACTCTAAAATTGGAAATGTTAGCCCAAGTTCTCAAGGAAGTTCTAATGACAATGAAAGTAGCTATTTAAATTATTTAATTTAAATATAATTTAAATTAAGGCAATTTTGGAGTCCCTCATGTTCACCCATCTTTTGGACATGGATATAATTATCCAGATCATTTAACTTCTCCTCATCATTATGGCGATGCTGCACATCAATTACCCTATCAATTACCCTATCAATTACCCCACATCAATTACCCTCATAATCATGGATGGCAGCATCCATACCCTTATAATTCTTCTGGTTTTCCTCCAAATTTTGTTCCAATACAACCAAAACCACATGAAATTACACATTTTGCAGACACAAATACAGATACCTATTCTGGTAATTTTAAAATATTCAAATTAAAAGATAAAAGGCCAAGTTTATTTTAAAAATTGTAATTATATATTTTTAAAAAACAGTGAAAATAGACCTTAATCCTTAATAAAATATGTTCCCTCTAGACTTAATATTAATGTTAATTTGACTTTATAATTAAAAACTTGAGGTTTTATAATGGAGGTGGAGGATATCTAAGTAATTTACTTATTTTAGGGAGTGATGGGCCGCCAGTATCCTCGGTAACTCCAGACTTCAATAATCCAAATGAAAGTGAATATTCAAATGATGACCAGG